CGTGACAGTGCACGCACGCAGTGGTACAACAGTCAGGGCACACGTCGCGATAACTGCTGTGTTCATTTGCAACAGACTCGGAAAAGCTGCCCTATTCAAACATCACTTCAAATTAAATCCCCCCCTCCCCCCAAAAAAACAAGAAAAAAAAGAAAAAAAACCCCCATCTGCCGCTTATTGCAAGGCATATATTATGTTCAAACTGTACCCTCCTACAAATAGAATAAAAATATTTGATCTCGCACACAGAATAAAAGTCACGCAAAAAAAAGGGAAAAAAAAGAAAAAAGAAAAAGAAAACCAACCAACGCACCCACTTTCTACACTTGATCTAAGAGATTTCCCTCTTATTAAATTCCACTGTTAGCCCCCACCGCCCCCCCCCCAAAAAAAAAACAACCCCTTCACAATAATTAATACCAACCCGTTGTAGTTTGAGCAGAAACACCGCAGTTATCAGCGTCACACATACCCAGACCAGACTGCTATACACACACACACACACACACACACACACGTACAGACATCAACAGAATACGTTCGTATAAAGTCGTGCAGAATCTCTAGTAGAATAACTTTGTTCCCTTTTGGGTTGCGTACTGATCTGCGACTAATAATCGCCTATGGATTAGTTTTTTAAAAAATCCACAAAAACCCAAACAAACAAAAACAAAACAAAACGTATCTTACTCTTAAAAAAGGAATTAGCTACATGCTTTATCAGAACATACAAGGTTTAATAAGCGTCGATACTGGGTAAAAAGCAGTTAAGTTACGCGTTCGAAAACAAAGATATACAATGGTTGTACACGTATATTATGCATTAAATTAAAGAAATCATTAATAAACAATAGTATTCTCCAATAAGTAACTTGCAATACCAATTACTCCTTTAGTCATAAAAATGGTCACAAACAACAAACAAAACAAAACAAAAATGATTTAAATATAATATTTTTAAAAAAGTAAATGCAAGACGTACAAAAGTGAGGTAGTGTGTGAAGAACCAAAAGAAAAAGGGAAATCACTCGTGACTTGACGTGACGTGTGGAGAGCATACAGGGGAGACAACTCGACGCAAACAAAAGATGAAAACTTTGCTGTGTGTTTTGTGGCTCAAGATACAACCCTCGGGGCCTTCTCCGATCATGCCTGCCTACTTGTTTACTCCAACCATGTCACTAAAGTGGCACCATGCAAAACTGACAGAGTGAGGACTGCAAGAATAGTGGTGGTAGTAGTTGTAATAATAATAGTAGTAGTAGTAGTAGTAGTAGTAGTAGTAGTAGTAGTAGTAGTAG